GGCCTGAGTTGTGTTTTACCTTCACAGGACCTGCAAAGATTTAGGCATTTGTGGCTTTTTCAGTGTTTTTCTGGCAATATTTGAAGCACTTTGTGTGACATGAATGTGATGAGATTACAAATTTATTAAAGAAATTAGAGTAGAGATAAAAAATGGAGAGGACTGGTAGAAAAATATTTTAATAAAAATATGAGCTATTGTGTAAATAATGTGATTATGGAAATAGTACTAGTAATAATAATAATACCTACTTTGAACATCTGTGTCAACAGAATTAGTTAAACATTTTTAAAAGAAACACATGGGGAGGTGAGTCAGGATAGTTTCTTTGATCTGAAGTTGAGAAAGGTGTTTTAACATCTTGCCTCAGTATTGAAAACAGCAGGGTTAAATACATGCTGGATAAAAATATTTCACTATTTTCCTTTGGACAGCCTTCACTGGGGCACTATCAAAGCCAAACTGAACACTTTGTGGTCAAGCTTTAAAAGCATCATTGCAAAATGACAAAAATCCTTTAATAAATGCCAAGTGAATCATAGTTTAACCATTTACCAAGTAGCTTTCTGTAGTATAATACAACATTAATCATATCAAACACAGAAAAGAATTCATAGCTAGACCTATCCTTTTCTTTGACAATTGAAATACTTGGATTGATTTAATTAATCCCACTTGCTTTTGATGGAAGTCTAGGGAGAGCTACAGGAAGCTGCCTGGTGCATTATTAATTCTCTACATCTTTACTGCAGTGCCAATGCTGTTTATCCCATTTTAAATTCTCCAGGTCCCCATCTCTGGCAATGACAGCTGTTATGGCTGTGGTGGGAACTGTTTCTTTTTTTCCCTGACTGAAAGGGCAGGGACCAGCTGCTGCTCTTGCTAAGGCTGAGAAAGGGATCAGTTTTCAGAGGTACTCCAGTGGCTGAGAAGGGGCCGCTCTCTCCTTTTTCATCAAGTATTTCTCTTTGAAAGAGTGATCCAATTCTGCTTAATCAAGGAGCTGGAACTTTGAGATTGTTCTTTGTCCTGACAATCTGAAATCCTTCATTGCCTTCCTGGGTGAGCTGGTCATAACCTATTTCTAAAGTCAAAACATTGACTTTTACTTAAATCATGCAAACGCAGGTTCTGGGTTGTAACATTTGGGCAACTGTGTTTTCCTCCCCAAATTCTGAGGGTGCCAATGTCCACTTTTGCTCTTCTTTATTGTCCTCTTGCATGTATCCATGGTGTTTACATATATGCAAATTTAAATAAAGCAAACGATCACTTTCAGGTAACCACGATGGATCAAGATATTATATGACATTTTCATACCTGGAATAATAACTTTTTTCTTTTATTACCAATAAAGATCAGCTATTCTTTCTATAAGTAAAGTTTTTATGCTTCTCACATTTTTATTCTATTAATTTCTAGTGCCAGATTTCTCTTTTATCAAGAGACATTCTCTATCAATTGCAAACTGTCAACCAAGTTTACAAAATATTGCATCCCTTCCATCACTGAGTCCCAGTCAATTAAATATAGCATACAGCAATATCAGAACTGAGAACAGACCATAGAAAAATAATACAGAAGTTTCTGCTGGCCTTGAGAGTTAATCCAAATGAGCTGGATTAGAATGACTGTGCTGAGACATGTCTTTTCAAAAATAATCTCTGCAACTGGATGAATATAATTCACACCTTTGTTCGAGTTGCATTTAAATATTTATTTTGTCAAAACATATGATTCAAAGTTTGGTAGTGCTTTCTTGAAATATATTCCATCATTATTTCCAAAACATTTTGAACCACACTCCTCGAGCTTATTTATATAATTCTTTATACCATAAATTACTATGAAAGTAAGTGTTTTGACTTCTCATGTTAAGGCTGAATGAACCAAGGGTCAAAAGACTTGTTCTTGGCATCATCCAGTCTGTGAGGGGCAGAGCGGGAATTTACATCTGGATTTCTAGCTAGGCATAGTATTTTTTTTTTCTACTCTACTCTAGCTTCTTTGTTCTGATTTTAGGATCATATGTCTCGTGATGTTTCTTTAAACGGTTTTGAAGAAAAATGAGTAAGAAGAGTGTGTTTTGTTTTGGTCCCAGGCTTAAAATTAATTTACATATTTTTTCTCAACAATGTAAAAAGTTGTGTTCATCAACTTTGAGATTTCCATGCTAAACAATCTGGAGAAATAGGTAATGTGAGAATGAGGTCTCTGAGATCTATACACACAAAGAAAACCTACAAGGTTGTGATGTTTAATTAGTAGAGCAGAAGACAAAGAAAAGATATATTTATTTTAAAATGTTTATAGAGCTGTAAGACAGAGTTGTAGTTTGTTTTTGTTGAAGAAATAAAACAGGATTATTGTGTAGAAGCCACAGGAGGTGGATCTGAGTTCAGATATCTACATAGACATAAATGACAGATGACATGATAGATGTAGATTCGTACATACAGACATAGAGTTACACATTACAGAAAGTATTCAAGCAGGAGACTCATAGAGGGAAATTGGGTACTGAGTGCGGGTTTGAATAAGCTTCTTTCCTACCCTATCTTTCTATGATTTTATTGCTTACATTTTTTTTTTTTTCAAAGCAAGCCACCTAGCCATATCTCAGTTTGAGAGTGAAGAATAAAGATACTTCAGGGAGGGGGAGCAAATGTAATTGCACATAATTATATATTCTAAACATGCTCATTGTAGAATTTCCTTTTAAAAATTTTATGTATTAATTTATTTGATACTAATATTATTGATGTTCTAATATTAGCTTTCCCCATGTGTTTTGAAATTTTGTTTTGCAGACTCATCTTAATTTTTCCCCCTGTCTTTCTTCAGGCTTATTCCCATTTATAATCTGTGTAGGGACTTTCAGTTGCCTGCACCTAGATGCCTGGGGCCCCTAGGCCAGAACTGGCTCATTTTGCTGCTGTCCCACAGTGATGTTGGGAATGTCACAGATTCTATTGTTGAGCCAATGTCCAGCTTAACTGAAGCCTTGGTAACGTGAATGAGTTCTGATTTGCCACATCTCAAATAGCAGAAGGTATTTGGTGATTCAAATTATTTCCAAAAAAATGCTTCCATGTTTTTCCCTTACCAGCCATGTATAATATGTAACACAAACTCTACAAGGTCAATTTTTTCTAGATTTTCTATTAAAAGATTAAAAAATAGAGAGAGAGATTTCAATAAATTCTTCTCTTCAGATAGTAACCTGCTCACATCATTGGTCCATGAAGGAATTTCTTGTTTCTTGCCATTCCCTTCCCTTTCCTTTCCCATGGACACCCTATCCAATGAACTTGAAACATATCCTTTCGTGTTCTTGGATATCTACTTATCCTTTACAGTGTGGTTTTGTGTGTATACATTTTAAAATAATGTATAATATTTCGTCACAGATCTAGTCATCTTACTTTATTAAAAAAATCTAACACCGTGTGTTTAAGATGTTCAAGTTACTGCATAAACTTTCAGTTCATTACTGCTGTAGAGTATTCCAGAGTATGCAAACACTACCAAGGAAACGCTGCACTGACTACCAGTGAGTGGAATTAATGAGTTTTAGTATATACTATATTTAATTTAATTTTATTAGGCCTTGTCAGATTTATTTCCAGAATGGCTATACCTGAATATTTCTACAAGAGTATATGAAGCTTTTTGTCTGCCCAAATGCTAACACTTGGTATGATCTGATATTTTATTTTATTCTTTGCTAAGTTCAGTGGATGCAACTTGCATCTCACATGAATTTTAATTTGTCTTCTCTGGTAAGCATTGAAACTGGCCTATTCCTATTGTTTATACATGTTTATACTGGGTTTTGATGTATTTCTTGCTGTTTTTCTGGAGTCCAGCTTAAATTCTACTTATTAATATGTTTTTGGTTTTAAACTGCAATTAACTTCTCCTAGTATATCATTTGTTTACAGTAAAATTAACTTCTCCCAGTGTATCATTCGTTTACAGTAACTATGGTAACTTGTTTTGAGCACAAGGTTTTATTTTGATGTATTCAAATACATATTTGTTGTTGTTTTGTTGTGGCTGTATATTTTGTGTTTTCTTTAAGATTAAAAAAAGTACTTTTCCATTGGGTACAAACAATCTGAAATTTCTTACATTTTTTTATATGTTTAAATCTTTGATTTGTCTATACTTTATTTCTATAAAGATTCATTTTAATTTTTTCTCCAGGAAAAAAAAGCACAATATTCTCAACATGAACTAAGCAAATCTCAATTCTCAATTTTTTATTATAGTTCTGTCAGTTTTTTTCTGGATATTTTTGAGGCTATGTTGTTAAGTTCATATGTGTGTGCGAGTCTTATGTTACCTTGACCCATTTTTCTTTTTCTTTTTCTTGTCTTTGTCTCTCTCTTTCTTTCTTTCTTTCTTTCTTCTCTCCTTTCCTTGCCTTTCCTTTCCTTTTTTCTTTTCTTTTCTTCCTGAAATAGGGGCTCACTCTGTTGTCCAGGCTGGAGTGCAGTGGCATGATCGTAGCTCACTGGAACCTTGAACTTCTCGGCTCAAGAGATCCTCTCACCTCAGCCTTGTAAGCAGCTGAGACTATAGGCACATATCACCACACCTGGCTAATTTTTTTTCTTTTTTCTTTTTTTTTTTTTTGAGAGACAGGGTCTTGCTATGTTGCCCAGGCTAGTCTTGAACCCCTAGGCTCAAGCAATTCTCCCTCCTCGGCCTCCCAAGTAACTGGGATTACAGGCTTGAGCCACTGCACCTGACCACATAATTTTCTCTTAAGGGTGTCGTTGCTTAGCCCTCATGTGTGGAGGAAGTGGAGAATAGAAGAGGGAATACTCAGGTCTTATCATTTGCTTCGATTAGTTATTCCCGCCTTTCTGGCTAGGTTTCTTGTGCCATGTGTATAGTTGTATATTTTTGGTGTCACAATTTTTTTTTTTTTTAATATTTTTA